AATATGAAAATTGAAATTAATAGATAATTTTCTTTCTTTTTATTGGTTTACCGATTCCTATGAAATGAAAGAAATTTGACAACGTGGAGTAACCGAAAAATAATTTAATGAAACTTCGGTCAGATTAAATTGTTTACTTGAGAAATATATTTTAAAACACGAATTTTGTTCTCGATTTTGATCAATGTTCGCTTTTATAATGAAATTTGTCAACAAAGCATTTTTTAATAAAAAGGATTAAGTTACTTATTCTTATTATTACTCTGTGTGAGTTAATGTATCTTTTCTGAGCGAAAATCCATTCATTTCAGACTTAATTAGCGGATTAATCAAAGATTTGTTTATTACTGCCTACTAATTTTTTATCCATCTCGCCGATAATTTTCAAATCCTATTTTGAAAAAATGCTTCGTTTTCTGATGCTATCTCTAAAAGAGAGAGAATGTTTAGCTTAAAGATATGACTTTTACACTCCTCTGAACTAATTGAAGCATATTTTAATTTACTTTTATTAACATTTCTCCTATGAAGATATTCCTTGCAATATTGTTATAATAATAAGAGTAACTTTAATATTAATACATTTTGATTTAAATTTTTTTTTTTTTTTTGCAAGAAAATTGTCAACGCTTTCTTATGAGTGAAAATTGGCAACATTGTAGAGAAATAGAATTTTTGTTGACTGCAAATCCTTACGAAACAAGTTTGTGAATCTCTGTTTTAATTACGGCAGGTATATTTGTACTTTGTTTCTAGTGTTTTTTTCTTTTTTTTTTTTTTCTTTTTTGTTGGTTGTCGAGTACACATGTCAGTGAATAGATAAAACTGTGAACTAAAATTCAATACACATACATATAAAGTAGAAACGCAAAAAAAAAAAAGAATAAAAATAAATAAATAAATAAATAAGAAAATGGAGAAGAAGAAAACATGTACAAGTGCAAACACTGAACGACTGATAAAGAAATTGGGTGACATAAAAATACCACCAACAAATGAAAAAAAAAAAAAAAAAAAAATGGTTTAATTATCTATAAAAGGTAGAGAAAAAAGAAAAAAAAAAAGCACAAACGCGCAGACGAGTAATGGGAGAAATTAACATTTTTAATTAAACCATTAAATACGTATATAAAAAGCAAACAAGCACACAAAACGTTTCAAAATATGTATTTGGCTAAGGTTTCTTTAACTTCAATTTGAACGCACAAGAATCAGAAATTTTAGTAGTAGTTCAGGTCAATCTTCTACAATATTTTTTTTTTTTTTGTCGCAACAAAGTAATATTTCTTGTGACCATTAAGGTGTATGAGCCTTTTTTTTTCTTTTCTTTAGCCATAAAATTAAGGAAGAAAAATATTTTATAATATTTCATTACTTTCTACTATTAAGGTGAGTATATCAACACCTATTGCATTTAGGAGCATACTTTTCGAAAATTGAAATACGAAACATTATCACATACTATCGACCACTATCTAAGGAAAAGCTAAGAACTATATTGGAAAATCGATAAAATTATTTAGGAAAAACCATGTAGATGGATGGGTAATCAAAATTGATTTGATCATTCAGCCGTGCACGCCTGCATTTAAGAAACACTTTTACAAACTTTACGCACATGCTTTGGATGGTGAATAAGCAACTTTTGCTATTTATCAAATATGTCAAAGAAAAAAAAAATAAAAAAAATCAAATCTTTATGAACTCAATACATTCTCATCGAATATCTCCTATTCGTTCTTCGCTTGAAAATCTACCATTTGCTTAGGAATACAAAGACCACGAGTTAATGTGAAGTTCAATTTTCTTTAATAAATAGTTTACAGACATGCTATGGATGGTAAAAAAAAAAAAAACACAACAAAACAAATATTTTTCTAGCATATTTTTCATTAATAGATAAATATTTTACCTAATATTGGTTAGTATTGCAACGGTTTGGTAGCATTTGACTGATGAATGAATGTTGTTAACATTTCATTTATATATATATATATATATTTCTATGTATATATATTTATTGTTTACCGATTTATTTTTTGATGTAAAGTGTTTATAAACAGGAAAATTTAATGTTTTAGAAAATTTTTTTTTTTTTTTGTAACTTTAACTATAAGACGGTCGTTATGCTTCGGTTTAAAAACGAATTTATATTTTAATTTATTGTTGTTGTTATTTCACTTTTTTGTAATTTATTATTTCACATAATAAATCAAAGTTTTTACTAAATTTGCTTTCTTTTATATATGTTTCATTTAAATTTTACTTATACTTTGCTTTCAAGCTTCCAATTGTTTGATTGTTATTATTGTTATTGCTGTTGTTGTTATTGTTGTTCTTCCTAACTATTAACACCACGTGCTTAAGTGTTTCTCGTATAAGTCATTTGTTTTTTTATTGTTTATGCGTTTCGCATCCAACAACTCTGGTCTAAAAATAAAATTCGATATAATATATATATATATATATATACATATATATATATATTTTTTTTTGTTTTTTATTTAATAAATTCTTCTTATTTGAATTTTTATTATTATTATTATTATTATTATAAACATATTTTCTTTTTTTCTTCTTTTTTCGTTTTGTTTTCGTGAAGCATTACAATAATTTCAGGTTCAAGTTACATGCCTCGGGCTCCTTATGGAAACATTTAGTGGAAACCCTAATAAGTATATTACGTTAGCTAAGATAGCATTAACTCAATGTCATCGTCAATACTTAGTCGCTACAGCTACTATATCTATAAGATTACAGACTTAGCGTTATTTTGATTTGCTGGACACTTTTAGTCAGTCAGTAGAGGTGATTGTGTTTGCCTTTTTTTCTGGTCTCTTCTTTTATTAATTAATAGAGGCAATAATAGTAAATATAAGTCGAGCGAGCATTCAATGCATATTTTATATTGATTTGCTGTCTCAATGGAAATGCTTGGTGAATTTAAGAGAAGAAGAGGCAGTTCGAAATCGGTGTTCTTATGTCTATTATTTATCTGTTCACACTTCTGCAACTCTCCCGGCCATGAAGAAGGGGTGAAGGGGGAAAATGCAAATGTATATTCAACATGGTTCAGCGTACGAATTGCAAGTTAGTGCGATGGGATACTGATATGGCAATGTGTCTGTCTCTCTTAGTTTTCTGGGGAATACATCTGCGAAGATTGTTAATGGAATTGAAAAATCTCGTCTGGAAATTTTGTTTTGAAAAGTAGCAAGTGATCTGAAAAAGCATTTTCATGTTTCCCTTAATGAGACTCATTTTTTAAAGAATGCCTGTAATTTGGTTCTAAGATCCGGGGTTCATCTAACAAGCAGCAACACTATTTATACATTTTTTTATTATTATAGCTTTTTTTTTTTTTTTTTTTAAAAATTTAAATATTAATTTAAATAAAATAAAAAAAAAAATAAATAAATAAGTAATAATAACTAATTAATTATTCATTAGTTGCTTCTGTTTATAAATTAACTATGGAATGAATTCATTTAGTTTTTATTGTTATCATTAAATCATTCTGTTCACGCGTCAGACGATAAGTTTTCGTTTTTCCGAATTTTAGAAACTGGGAAAGAGAGAGAGAGAGAGAGCTTAACAAGTTACTGAAGATAGTATCACTGCAAGGTTGAAATCATTTCATAGGATTACTATGCTTGTTAACGAACTTTAAGCTCAGAACATTTTTTTCCCATTAATGCTTTTATTGTTTACTTGATTCAAGTTCTAGTGCGTTTCGCTAAATAAAAAAGAAAGTGCGTAGAGAAAAGTTTCGTTTTTTTCTTTTTCTTTTGATTTAACACATTTTGAAAATTTATTTTTCTTTAATTTTTATTTTTTATTTTGTTATTATCGTCAATTTTTTTAATTATTATTGTTTTATTTACTTGATATCCTCTCTGATGTGTTCGAATAAAAAGTGAGTTTAATTCACAGGATCTACTATTAGTTATTGTGGGCGTGTGACCAGTTTCATTTTTCAAAATTGATACATACATTTAAACTGATAATGTATTTATTTGAAGATCTAGCTTTCTATCCGAAAATGCCGTAACGGCCGTAAGAGTTGCGAGTAGAAACGGACGAACGGACGGACAATAAATTATATTGATAATGTGTATGTATGTATGTATGTATGTATGTATGTATGTATGTATGTATGTATATGAAATTCGACACTGTTCTTCTAGGGCAAACATTCACACAAACATTGCTGACAAGCTGCAAGCAACAAATATGCATGTAATTGTGTTCGCGTGGTTATGTTTCAATTTCACTGGTTATACAAAACGTTTCCCTTCCCTTTCGCAAGATAAGCGATACGACAGAGTTTCTTAGAGCTCTACAAAGCAATGAGAATTAGAAATTGGACGCCTATATTTTGGTAAATATTACGATAATTTTTTTTTCTCTTTGTTTTGTTTTTTTATAATTTATGTTTGGTATTTTGTTTGCAATCGTTGTATTGGTATGATCTATTTATAGATAAATTAATTTCTTGTTTTTAAATAATTTTTTATTCTATCTACTTTTTATATTATTATTATTATTATTATTATACTTGGCACTTTTTATATTTCGATCAGTTTTTTATTTTCAATTATTATATTCGGTTAATATTCGGTTTTTATTATTATTTATTTCTTGAATTATTATTATTTACTTTTGCTTTTATTGTTGTGATATAATTTTTCTTTTTGTTCTTCACTTCTCCTATTTTATTATATTATTCAAATGTTTATGTGTTTACTTCGATTTGTTTTACTATTTTTATTTCAATAATCTTAAAATTAATTATATATTTGTTATTGTAATTATAGTATTTTTTTAGTTTTCTAGTTTCTGTCTTTCACGACATTTTTTTTTTTTTTTTTTAATGAATTCGGTAACTATTGAAAACACCTGTTATCTTAGTTTGGGTTAAGGTTTGGGGTTAGTATGGCGAAAGGAACAAAAAAAAAAAAAAAAAAAAAAAATAAGATTGTATTTAAGAAGAGACTTACTTTTTGGAATTACGTTTTGTTGTTTGTTTGGAAAACATGGGAATTTTGTCAACAATCAATTGCATCGCTCGAAAACCTGTACTCAGATTTATAAGATCAATGAGAATACCTTGGCGAAGAAGGAACTCTCTTATTTTGGTTTCACTTCGTGATGATTGGTCACAATTTTTTTCTTTTCTTTTTTAAAGCATTGATAAAAAAAAATTTTCTTTTACAAAATTTTTAAACAATTTTTCATTTTTAATACTGGTTTTTGCTAAATATATATGAAACAAAATAAACAAAACATAATAAGAAGAAGAGCAATAATAAAGTTCTTTAAGGTAATCCTTTTGGTAAATGTTTTTAGGGCGGCAGGAACTTGTTTTTCTTTGTGTTTTTATTTTTTATTTAAATATTTTGTGATTTTTCAAAACTTCACTGCAACTGACTTGTTTTTTTTTTTTGTTTTTTCTTTTTGTTAATCTTTAGGGAAATACTGTTTAGAGGAAATCTTCTGCTTATCACTTTTTAGTGGTAAATAGTGTCTAGGCTTTTTGGCGTTGCACGTTTCGCTGTTGCACGTTATTTACCTTAAATACACCGCGATCTATTCAATAATATCCATGTAAACAGTTACAATAGTTTTTTTTCAAAATAAATATGTTTAAAAATTGTTTAATTTTTTTTATTTTTTTTTTTTGTTTTTTGCTTTTAATAATCAATCAAAAACCGGGAGAAAGGAATATAAGCCAATATAAAATGATTGTTTTGTTTTTATTTCGAACTTCTTTTGTTTGCTTTTTTAATTAAAACACGCTAGTTGTTGTTATATTTGTAAAGATTATTTTTTTTTTGTTTTTTTTTTTTCTTTGAGATGCGAAGAAGTGGGTTGAGTTGAATGCTTGAATGTTTGATTTCTTTTAATGAATTGATTGGAAAATTTACAAAAAAAAAAAAAAAAAAAAAAAATTTATATGTTAAGGTAGATGCCACTCGCCTTAATTTACGAACATTATTGTTTGTGCTTTGCTTTATTTGTTGTTGCTAATGTTGCATTTGTGTTGCTGTTGTTGTTTAATATAAACATTAAAAACGTAAAACCACAGACAAATAAACAAAAAAACAAAAAAATTTCACTTGCAATATTTCACTTGCCATACAATTAACCGGTTTTGGTTGTCTACAATTTTCACATAAATTTATGTTTTTTTGTTCAATAATATAATATTATTTCTTTTTGATATTTTTCTTTAGAAAATTTTTTTTTTTTTTTTTTTTTTTTAATTTAATTAATTCATTAATAATGAAATCCAGTCCAATATTGAAATGAGAGAAAAAAAACACTTTAAAAACATCAAATTTGTTTTTTATGTTGTGTTTGGTATCAGAAAATTCTCTTCTTGTTGCTGTTGTTGATTTTGATTAATTGTTGTGTTGTTATTAAGTATATTATAATCCAAGTTAAGCCGTGTCGCGCGTTCATTTAGCTAAACATGACGACATTTGACAGCAGCAGCCAGAAAGGAACTAAACGGCGGCCAGAGTCACGACACCGCACAAAACTCACTGACTGACGACAATGGCGTTTATGTGAAGACAACAAAACGTTTGTGTATGAAGCAAATACATCTACACGATAACGAATAATGAAAAAGAAAAAAAAAAAAAAAAAAAAAGGGAAAAAAAACACAACAAAAGGCAGGCAAAACAGATACAGATATATACGCCACTCGCATGCACGTACACATACACACAATCACGTGGATGTAGAGACATTAAGAAGAAGACATTAAACACCGCTAAAAGGCTTGAACAAAATGTTCGTTTAACACATATATCTCTCTCTCTGGTTAGCCGCAATGTTATACGCTCTTTTTTCCTTTGGTTTCGCTCTCGGGCAATGTGTATAAGTTGGTTGTTACAGTTAACCTCTTGCCTGATACTTAACGAGAAAGTAACAGATTTATAGTGTTTTGATTACAATGCATGAGTTTTGTTTGATATCAAACCGTGATACAAGCAACATGTTGTGTATAAAGACAGTAAGCATATAAATATATCATATTTGTTTTTTTGTTTTATTGTTTAATCGCTCTCTCATTCTGTTTCGCTTTCTCTCACTCTCTCATTGTCTCTATCTATTTCTCTGTCTGCCACTCGATGTTACTCTGTAGTTCTGTCCGCGAGTAGGGTTTGACGGAGATGGTATTTCGTTCTGTTCTGTTATCAACATTTTCCGTAAAATAAAGATAGAAAAAAAAAAAAAAAAAAAAAAACGGAAAAATAAAAACAAGAAAAATAAAACGTTTAGTGTTTTATGCATGTCACAACATGATTATGTCTGAATCAAACTTCTTACCCTCCTTATTGACTCAACGTCTCTCACTGGCTTAACTTCGTGTTGGTTGGATGATTTAAATTCGTACAATTGTTGGTTTTGTATCTGTTCATTTTCTTGTTGTTGTTGTTGTTGTTGTATTAATATTTTCTTTCTTTTTGTGTACTTTGTAGATACTCTTTATTATTGAAATATATATTTGTTTGCATATGTATGTGTGAGATATTTGTAATATATTTTTTGTAATGATTGTCATTGTTGCTGTTGTTGTTTTTGTTGTTGCATGTATTTCCACTACCTCAAACTCAAACACTCGCCAAAATGTGTTCCTGCCTATGTGTATGTGTGCGTGTGTAATTTTCTTTCACTCGATATCATTATTATTATATTTTCTCGCTGTCCTGTTGTGTGTTAGTTATGTGTGCCTGAATGGTTGTTGCTCATATTTTGCTTTTGCTGGTTCGCTGCTGTTATTTTTATTTGTTTATATATATATATATATATATATATATATATATGTATGTATATTTTGTTTTTGCTGATTTATTTTGTATTTGGTCTCGGGGTCGGTCGTTGGTAGTCTTTTGGGCGACGCAGCTTATACACTTAAGTCAATATATGTACATTCATGCGCATATACTCATACATATACACACACACTCACACGCACGTACATCAACGGCGACGGATTTCGTGTATATTCGTAATTATGTGCACATATGTCAATACTTTTGGCTTTTTGTTGGTTTTTTGATTTAAATCATTTTGTGTTTGCAGTTGTTGATGGCATTGTTGTTGTGGTTGGTTGTTATAATTGTTTTTGTTGTTGTTAAGTTGCTGCTTTATATGCATACATGCTCAATGCATGGTTAACACATATTTATTTGCATTTATTATTTTTAAAAATTTCATTTTCTGCAAAATTGCATAAATTCTTCTCTATTCAATTTAATGGCTATTCAAGCTGCATCGATTTATTGAATATTCATAATCGGACGATAATTACATTACATTAAATTTCTTTCGTCTCTTTTTCTTCCTCTCTCTCTCTCTCTCTCTCTCTCTCTCTCTTCATCACGATCTTTTCCCTTTTTGCAGAGCGGCAAAGAGACAAGCAGAGAGAGACGAAATGATATCTCAGATTTTAATATGTATAATTAGGATAATGATGAATTTACAGTTGTAAATAACTAAAAGACTAAAAGTCCATCTATAATGGGGTAATTACAACAACAAAATCTAATACATCTTTAATCAAAGTTCTATATACACAAAAGAGAGACAGTGAGAGGGAGCATAAGTTGGGTGAACTAGGTTCGTCATAAGTCATAAGACAAAAATTCTTCTGCAAAAACTTTTTTCTTCATTTCAACGACCAAAAATTATATATTGAACTAAAAACGACCTTCTATTAAGTCGCCTTAAGCCAGTGTATTATGACATATGTCAATAATTGATCGCATTTAAGCTAATAAAATTTGCAATTGCAAGTTTCTAATATCGATAATTTTCATAGATATTGTTGTTTTCTTTTTGTCGGTAATCTAAATATTTGCATAGCCGGTGTTAATTCCTTCTTCTTTGCTATCATAAGTGTCGAATATGTTTGCAATGAAATAGTTAGGTCTTTAGCTTTGCTTCCAACTATTTTCTAGCAATAGTTGCTCAGATTTGTTGCACAAAACGGAAATATCTTTATTAATAGGTTAACACGTTACCTCGGTATAGAAAACTAAATTGCTTTCGATTTTTTGTTTTTTCAATAATTCTAATAATTCACTTAAAAAGCGTTTTTTATTTTTACTTTTCCATAATAAAGCAAAAATAAATAATAAAACAGAAATACCCGCGTAGCAGATAAAATTAATTCTAATTGTTAATTTTATTTAGAGTATTCTCTTCGAAAAAAGACAACAACAACTTATGATCGATCTCGAGAGTCACGCATGCGTATGAGTTACATACGTACATAAATGAATATTGCTTAAGTAACCGTTTTCTGTCCGCTTAAGCTAATTTTAATCCAACATTTTGAAAAGGCATAAAATCCCATGACCAGTTATCGGCATAAGCTTTTTAATTATTATTTAAATATTTCTTTGTTTTTGTTTTGATCTACTTTGAGTTGTTTTAGATTCGAGCACAAATGAAGAGTTTTCGACCCATATTTGGTTAGGATTTTCAGTATTATTTTTTGACTTAGAGAATACGAACAACACACAGACGGATAGACAGACAGACAGAATTAAAGCGGATTTTTTAGAAATTAATGGGAATGAAAACTTGCTTACAATCTTATTGTTATATGGAAAATATGTTACTAGATGTTAAGAACTACGAATTTTTTAACGATTTGCTATAATGTTTAGAGATATAAAGCTAATAGGTTGGAAGGAAAGTTTTGCCGTATTTTAAACAGGCAGGTAATTTTTCTTGTAAATAAAACAAGAAACATTCCATTTAATAATGAATTAAAATATTTTCTTTAAAATACGGCAGAACTTTCCCTCCAACCTATTATAAAAATGTGTAAAGATGTGTTGAGAAAAAGTCTATATAATTTCGCACGGAATTATTAAAAACAAATGTGATTATGATTTATAGAAATTTATCTATCGACTGCGATATAACAAAAATCATTTCATCGAATGCAACAAACCCTATCTGCTATACCTGTACTCTATTCGGGCTTTCTGCATATTGCAATTGTCAGCTTTTTCGGAAAATTTTAATTTTTTACCTGCTAGAAATGTCTTTCTGGGAATTATAATTAAATAAGCGGACACAGGGAAAGGGTACGCAACGCCTTAGGCCAGATACCTTACCATTGTTTGTTCATATTGATTGGGTTTTTTGCTTTTCGCAGCTGTCTAGTATACTATATATCAAGTGTCCTTGAATGCTTTCTACCGTTTATAAAGTTGAAATATTTGCGATACACTGTTGCCCGAAGAGCGTATTTAACATTTTTTTAATTATTCGACAAACGAAACTTTCAAATTCAAAGTTTAAGGAACATTTCTTGCTCAACTAACTGTTCTATTGCGAAAATTGCAGAGCACTCAATGCATTGGATATTCAAGAAAACAAAAAAAAAAAACAGCCTTAAGGACATTAAATATTAGATTGAGGTTAAAATGTCACGCGCATCTTCAAATGATAAACTCCTGCTACTACCACTACCACTACTGCTACTACTACTACTATTACTTCACTGTACATCAAAATTTATATTTATATGGTGCACTTGTAATGGTGAAAGTAATAAATATAACGAAGGATGATAAAATTTGTCTATCGAATTAATCGTAAATTGACAAATTTGCGACAAAAAATAAAAACTCGTGAACATGTCTAGTATGCCAGTAGTCTATAGTTTATATCCTCTGATCATGTCTGCCTGCAACAAATGTGATGTGATTTTTACATTTTTATTGATAAATTGTAGATTAAATGCAAATCGAATAAGCATTTAAAACACTCGCCCCTTTAATCGCACAATTGAAATGTAATGTAATTTTAATCGCTTAAATGCAAGGTATACATGTAACATGTTAATCTGGAGCGAAGAAAATGTTATGATTATGAACAATAATAATAATAATAATAATAATAGCACCAAGAGCAATTATTAATAACAACGATAGCATCAGCAGTAACAGCATTATCGGAAGAGTAATCTATCGTTTGCCACTTGAAAACATGGCCTAAAATTGTAGTATCTGTTGTGCTCTCATTAACATGGCAAATGTCAAAGCAAACATCCTCGATTAAGTACCAAAATACATAAACATATACGTACACACACACACACATTCAAATGTTAAGAGAATAATAACATATATTTTTGCTTGTTTGTCCTTGTATGAGAATGATGATGATTTCTCTTCCTTTTCTTTTGCAAAAAACAAAAAAAAAAAAAAAAAAAAAAAAAAAAATATCCAAAAAAAATTTATCACTCAATTAGCAAAACAGCAAAAATGTTTGAAGTAAATTTACTACCATTTGACATACAACACCAGAAACGTACAACCAGTTGTGCACAGGCAAACATACAATAACTGCCAATTGATATAAACATTTATAAAACCACTATAGATTACGTCTATATAACTAACTATGAATGTAAAGCATTGAAAATTGAGTTAGCTTCGTTGAGAGTAAACGAATGCATGTAAGTATATCGTGTATACCTGATTGCAACAACATGTTTTGTTTTCCTTGTTTTCGTTGTTTGTTTGTTTTTGTTTTCAATAGCTCTCTTCGAATGTATGCACATTTAATAAATAAA